GTTGGAAAGAAAAAGCACCGGCGCCTCATTGTTGTTGCCGATTTGGTTGTGCAGCACGAATGCACCCATGGGCACTAAAGATCTGCCTGTTGCAAGCTCACTGGCGTTGATGAATGGCGCATCTACAGCTGCATGAAGGTACGAAAGGGGTGGGCGAGCCATGGTGTGCAAGCGGCACCCTGGCTGGAAGATGTTTTTTTTCGGAAGACCGTAGTTTGCTTGTGGGGGTACAATCCACTACAAGATGCTTGAGCAAAAGCAGATGGTGAGTAGGAGCCTCCGCGCAGCCGACCTGTGTCACTATAATGAAGTTATTCAGCAGAAACGACCCGAGCATGAAGATCAACGTGTTATACAGCATGACAGCGTCCAGCTCCACGTGGCCCAAGTCGTCAAAATGGGCATTCATCAGCTGGATTTGGAAGTTCTGCTGCATTTGTCCTGCAGTCCTGGCCCCGCTCCATCGTACTATCACGTTTTCCAGCCACTTCCAAACCAAATGGGTGACGTTGCATTCGACAAGGACGAAGACCTCAAGAACATATTTAGGCCGTGGAAGTATGGTATGTTAAAGGCTATAGGAAATCGACGAGGGCGACCTTATGGAACAGAAAAAATGCTTTCAAATTGTATGTAACACTTACCACAACAAAGCGACTTGGAGGAAAGGAAGTACATTTGGAAAAAACGCAGACTTATAACGCAGTGCAATACAGTTTGTTGACGATTTCGGCTGTCGTGCAGCACAAAAATATCCGGATAATGCGCGAAGTTGTGGGACGTCTCGACGTATGCCCGAAGCGTGAACACAGGATCTTATTCATTTGGCTTAGGCCAAACATTCCAGGAGAGCTGTTTCGTAGAGGCTTATCAAGAAGTAGCACCGTATGGTAAGTTTACACAAAACAAATGAAGATTAAACTGTCTTCTACAACTCGAATAGAACAATACGACAAGAATTATGAAACTGCTAGTATGATTTATCATTCAAAACTCAGGTCACTTTACCTGCACCTATCGTCCAAGTAAATTACTACTGATAGGTGGACAATTTCATTTAGTTATCAAGATTCTTCACTAATTTCCCTTTCGCAAACTAATCTCAAGAATTGAAAACAAGCATGTACAGCAGAATTTATTGGGGCCAATAAATTTCGTGACGGCTTTTCAACTGCAGCCCGTCTCTGCATAACATAGGTAACGAATGAAAGCGCACAGCAGTATGAATTTGTACAGAATGGCAGTGCATAAGAGCAAGGTCAAAGTTCAAAGCAATCAATAATCAATCAATAATCTCGAGAAGGAGGATTGCTTTTTGCCAACCACTAAGAAGATATCTACACCTCGGGAACTGTCTCCGTGGGATCCAATCGGGTCTCGGCACTTGAGGATCTTGTGTTTTAGGCGGGCAAGTATAGTCGATAATTCGACCGCCTGACCGTCGCGAAACAAGACCCTTCTGCTATTAACTAGTTGCACGTGTTTTAGTATAATCGGAATGGAAGCACGTTGATAAGGTTAGATAACATCGACCTGAAGAAGACCCGGGTAACGAAAAGAAGCCAAGTGTAGATTAAAATTGACGAATAAAAAGTTGTGAAGGAATAGGAGATATAAAGAAGTACTCATTACATGCTAAGATTGAAATCGACTTATTGGAGGTCTTCAAGTTCGCTCTGTCCATTCATGACAGCCGTTTGTTGAAAGAGAGCCACGGCCGGGTAGCGTATTTGTGAAATTATTGGCACTGTCGACACTTTCTATCGATGACTATGAAAATGCGCACGTTACATCAAACTCTTCAGGTGTCCGCGAGGCTACGAGTTCAGTAAGAAGGCAGGGAAACTCTGGTAACATCGTGCATCGGTTGTCTCCACTGACCAGCCAATAGAAGCCCAAGTTATGACTGCTGCCGAAAATGCGAGTCATCAAGGACTACTGATGCCTGCAAGTAGGAACACAGTTTTGGCGGTTGCTGTTCCTGGTGGGTTTCTATGACCAGGCCGCACTTCTGGTCTGCTACCGCTGTGTCCAACGAGCAGATGGTCGCCTTCAGTTACGTAGAGGCGACTTAGGTTGTTGTGATGACTGGCTCCAATTACCCCAGAAAAGACAGCATGAAAACCAAACTCTGGCCCCTTAAAGAAGCAGTTGCTGGAAAAGTCATACTACGTCTTGCCCAAACGTTGGTTTCTTGTCAGTTACCTTAGTAGTAAGCACCTCCTCCAATCTACAGGAGACGATAGCATTGTAATTTAGAGATGGACCGATCATTTTACCGTCGTTTTTACATCCATACATTCAAAAACCCGTTTAACTGACACGCACTGTTTGCGTATTTCATACCTCCGTTTTCAATATTACAAAGAATACGAACGTCCCCGTAAAACAGGCGAACTTGTGCTAAATTTAAGGTGGGGCACTTTCAAGTCTTCCCCTTACTGTCGTGGGTTCGGATCCCAATGAGGTGTCAATTTTTTCAAATTTGGGTCAATATGAATTATTCAAAATCTGCCAAGACATCTGTGAAGGACAGATTTCGTCCTACAGTCCGCATTCCGACCAGCTAATTAAGTCCAGTATCAACCTACTGCATTCTCTACGGTAAGCAGATTTCGTTAATAAATGGATGGATTGTTTTATTTAGCACCCATGAGGGTACTTCCACGAGATACCATGTAAAATAAATTATAAGGGTTACACAGCAGCTATAGGGTTTTCTGCAGGATGGTCATAAAGCCTACGAATATATGTAGTGGATGGTCCACCCATATCACATTGGAATGCAAAATATATGCTTTATTATGTCCAAAAAAACTAATCCCAAGAGCTTATTGCTGATTGGTGTTCGGCATAACCCATGCACCCACGTCGTTCAGTGTAATTTTGAAAATTGTCGTTGAACTCGTCCCTGACAACTGACCAAACAGGGTAGTGAGCCAGGATTCTGAAATGACTCTGAATGACTCTCCCTTAGTCGGCCGGGTGGGGGCATTGTACATTCATTAAAATGGTTGAATATACCTAGCCGATTTTGTCATTTTTAAAGAACAGTTTCAAACGCAAAT